TTGCTGCTGTCTTTACTGTATTTCTATCAGTATAATATCTATGTATATGTATAGTTTATGTGTGTGTGTATATATATATATATGCACATACTATGTATATGTGTGTGTATATGTATGTATGTGTGTATGTATATAATTTGCCCTTGCCTACCCTGGGTAAAAAAAAGTTTCATGAGAACCCTGCTCTCACTAACTGCCCTTCATGAGACCAATCCCCAAATCTGAAATAGTTTTAAAAAGAAATATGTCGAGTTGTTTGGTAGAGAGAGCGAGAGCTGGAGAGAAGAGTTGGTTCCCACTATGGCCTTTGTGGCCATTCTTTGGCTCTCAGACAAGGGCATAGGACATTGCCCCATTGGCCTCACCTAGGCAGTAAGCTGTCTCTAAGAGGAGGGCAGTTTCAGATGTCTATCAGCAGGCAAGCTAATTTAATTTGGGGAACCCAAAACACCTCTCTGGGTGGGTCCAAAACAAGACCCCAGGGGGCCCAAGACAAGCCCTCAGTGGGCTCTCAGCCTTCCTAACAACCACCCCACTCCCCTGGAGCATCTCCAAGATCAGCAGCCTGATGTCTACAGTAAGCCTGTTGGTTAGACAATTGTCTAGCCCCAGAAAGCTGGATTCAGACACTACTAATAAGTGATAGATAATAATCCTCAAGTCTCACCTGCATTTGCATGTCCTTTTCCTGCAGCACCCCACTTACACGAAATAGTAAATTCCTCCCTCTCTTCCTCTTCCTTGTTGCTTTTCTCTTTGTCCCCTCACTGACTCATAGAGATGATGAAGCTCTGAAGGGACCCGCCTCTTCTCCACATTTCTGGATATAACTACTTGATGACCACTTGGCCCATCAAGCAAGTTTTTTTCCCTTTCTAGACTTTTCCAGTTTCCTGCATCGCCCTGTTGAAACCTCTGCCCAACTCTGGCTTTTTTGGCAGGAATTTATGGAAGCCAAGCTGACGGTCATCTCTTCGATGAGTTCCAGTTGTTTTCCCTAGCAGGCTGCTCAGACCTTGGGAGCCTTCTGTTCTCCCACATGCCCAGCATATGCCTTGCAGTCAGTCATGGTCTCATATATATATATATATATACACATACATATATATACACACACACACATATATATATATGTATGTATGTATATGTATACATATAAATTTATTTATTTTTAATTTTCAACATTTATTTCCACAAGATTTTGAATTCCATATTTTCACCCCATCTTGCCCCTCCCCGCACCCTAAGATGGCATGCATTCTGAATACCCCTTCCCCTAGTCTGCCCTCCCTTCTATCTCTCCCCCCCCTTCTCTTATCCCCTTCCCCTTCTATTTTCCTATAGGGCAGGATAGATTTCTGTACCTCGTTTCCTGTATTTCTTATTTCCCAGTTGCATGTGGAAATATTTTTTTAAGCATGTGTTTTTAAAACTTTGGCTTCCAAATTTTCTCCCTTCCTCCCACCCTACCCACCCTCATTGAAAAGGCAAGCAAGTCAATACAGGCCATACATATGCAGTTATGCAAAACACTTCCATGGTACACGTGTTGTGAAAAACTAACTCTATTTCCCTTAATCCTATCCTGCCCCCCCCATTTATTCTATTCTTTCTTTTGACCCTGTCCCTCCTCAGAAGCACTTCCTTCTGATTACCCCTTTCCCAATCTGCCCTTCTCTCTATCATCCCCCTGCTCTCTTGTCCCCTTCCTCCCTTATTTTCCTGTAGGGTAAGACAGATTTCCATACCCAACCAAGTGTGTATGTTATTCCCTCCTTAAGCCAAATCCTATGAGAATAAGATTCCCTCATTTCCTCTCTCCTTCCCCTGTTTCCCCTCCACTCTAAGAACCTTTTACCCCATTCTACCTCTCCCTTTCTCCTTCTCCTAGTATAATCCTCTCTCACCCCTTAATTTTATTCTCCTGATATCACCCCTTCATCTTCAACTCACCCTGTAGCCTCTATCTATCTATCTCTTTATCTATCTATCTATCTATCTATCCATCTATCTATACATACATATAATTTTTCCCCTCCCATGACCCTAATACTGACAAAGGTCTCATGAGTTATAAATATCATCTTTCCATGCAGGAATGTAAACAGTTCAGCCTTAATAAGTCTCTTATGATTTCTCTTTCCTGTTTACCTCTTCATGTTCCACTTGAGTCTTGTATTTGAAAGTCTAATTTTCTATTCAGCTCTGGTCTTTTCATCAAGAATGCTTGAAAATCCTCTATTTCACTGAGAGACCATTTTTTCCCCTGAAGGATTATACTCAATTTTGCTGGGTAGGTGATTCTTGGTTGTAATCCTATCTCCTTTGCCCTCCAGAATATCATGTCCCATGCCCTGTGGTCCCTTAATGTAGAAGCTGCTAAATCTTGTGTTATCTTGATTGTGTTCCCACAATACTTGAATTGTTTCTTTCTGGCTGCTTGCAATATTTTCTCCTTGACCTGGGAACTCTGGAATTTGGCTACAATATTCCTAGGAGTTTTCCTTTGGGGATCTCTTTCAGGAGGAGATCGGTGGATTCTTTCAATTTCTATTTTGCCCTCTGGTTCTAAAATATCAGGGCAGTTTTCCTTGATAATTTCTTGAAAGATGATGTCTAGGCTCTTTTTTTGATCATGGCTTTCAGATAGTCCAATAATTTTTAAATTCTCTCTCCTGGATCTATTTTCCAGGTCAGTTGTTTTTCCAATGAGATATTTCACATTGTTTTCTAATTTTTCATTCTTTTGGATTTGTTCTACTGTGTCATGATTTCTCATAAAGTCACTATCTTCCAATTGCTCTATTCTAATTTTTAAGGAAGTATTTTCTTCAGTAAGCTTTTGGACTTCCTTTTCCATTTGGCCAATTTTGCTTTTTAGGGCATTCTTCTCATTGGCTTTTTGGACCTCTTTTGCCATTTGGGTTAGGCTATTTTTTAAGGTGTTATTTTCTTCAGTATTTTTTTGGGTCTCCTTTAGCAAGCTGTTGACTTGTTTTTCATGATTTTCTTGCATCACTTTCATTTTTCTTCCCAGTTTTTCCTCTATTTCTCTTACTTGCTTCTCAAAATCCCTTTTGAACTCTTCCAAGGACTGGGATGGATTCATATTTTTCTTGGAGGCTTTGGATGTAGGAGCTTTGACTTTGTTGTCTTCTTCTGGTTGTATGTTTTGATCTTCTTTGTCACCAAAGTAAGACAATATAGTCTGACTCTTTTTTCGAGGTTTGCTCATGATCCCAGCCAACCACTTGAGTTTTAAACTCTTTGTTAAGGTAAAAGTCTGCTTCCAATGTGGTGAATGTACTGTCCCAAGCTTCAGAGGTTTGTATATTGTTTTCAAAGATACTTCTAGGGACCTATAAATTTTCAGTTCTTCCAAGGTGGTATGATAAGGGGCGAGATGTTTACTCTTTTCCTGGCCTGAGCTCTGGTCTTTGAGTGACCGGCCACAAGCAATCTTTTCTCTCTTGGAACCGTGAAGAGGGTTTCCTCTCCACTGCCACTACAAGCTCCACCATGCCAGCTCTCCTTCTCACCCCAGGACTGCCGCCCAGAACTGTGACCCAGATCCAAGCACGGGCAAAGCAAGAGATTCCTCCCTCAACACCAGCAAAGAGATCCCTGCAGTCCCCCTCTGATCAGCCACTTGATTCCCCCTCAGTCTGTGGGCCAGAAGCTCAGGATACAGCCACCGCCCCAGCACCCATGCTCTGAGCTCTGTGCTCTACGCTCTGGAACTGGCTCTGACCTAGCTCTTCTCTCACCGCAAAAACAGACTTTTCCCACTGACCTTCTAAGTTGTCTTTGGCATTTGTGGATTGAGGAATCTGGAAGCTGCCACAGCTGCCTGTGATTCAGTCCTCTGAGGCCTGCTCTAGGTTCGCTGTGGCCTGCACGTCCACGCTGAGCTGCGCTCCTCTGCCTGCTCGGTGCAATATGCCTTTCTGATCAACCATCCAGGCTGTCTTGGGCTGGAGATTTGTTTTACTCTGTCTTTTTGTGGGTTCTGCTGCTTTAGAATTTGTTTAGAGCCACTTTTTTATGGGTATTTGGAGGAGTTTGGGGGAGAGCTCAAGCAAGTCACTGCTTTCACTCCGCCATCTTGGCTCTGCCCTCTCACATCCCATGGTCTCATCTTTCCTCTCTGACGATGGCCACTGAGTGGAACCAGCCAGGGTTCTCCAGGTGCTCGGCCTTGGGGGTTCTGTCTGGTGGTGACCCATGCTTGGATCTGCGCCAGCCCTGGCTTTGGCCACAAAAGATTCTCACAAGGGCGCCCATGGCATGCTTCTGGCAAGCTGTCTCCAGCAGGAGATGGCACATGTGGTGCGCATTGGGGCTCTGTTTTGACTTGACCCAATTCTATTCCCTAGGGCTGCCAGCTTCTCTTCTCCTTTGCTGACCCTCCCTCAAGGCTTTGACCAATAGCTTGTGTCCCATTCTTGGCCTCTTCTTTCAATTCTTCCATAAGCCTTTCTTCAGCTCTGGGGGTACTTGCTCCCCCATTGCTTCACTCTCTTGGTTCTTGACATAACGATTTCCTGTCTCTCCAATAGGCCCCCCCAACCCATTTTTAACTCCAGAGCTTCTCCTTGGTAGGGGTTTGGGGGCTCTTACTGAACCCTGTGAAGTGGAGAGGGGGTCTCAATGATACTTCACCGCAGGCTCCTTTTGTCTCCACAGCTGCTGGACCCCAGCAGGTATGGGGCTGTCAGCAAGCTCAGGGCCTGGGGCAGAGCAAGGATAGACACTGGGTGATGGAAGGCTTGGGGCCAAGGCCCCAGGAGCCATTCTGGGGAAGTTGGCAGCTCAGGGCCCAGGCAGAGCAAGGCACTCACAGGGTGGCCCTCAGCTCAGAGGAGGACCTGGTCTCTTGTTGCAACATCCTCTGGCCTCACGAGTTGCTTTTTCTTGCTGCTTTTTTTTGGGGGGGGGCGGAGGAGGAGGAGCTGGATCTTCCTTGCCTCTTGCCCTGATTCTCCCTCTTTTGTTTCCAGGGTTAGCTCAGCTGCATATGGACCCTCCCTGGGACAGAAGCCACCGAGGCCGGCAGGCAGGGGCAGCCAGCGTGCGTGTGACTGATCTGAGCTGGCATGGCCTCCAGAACCCCAGGCCCCTGATAAAGGACAATGACAGCGCTGAGGTGCTGTTCGAGGAGTACCTGTCCCCCTCCAAGCTGGTGAGTCTGGCAGCCCCCAACTGCTTGGGCAGGTGGCTGGCTCCCTCCCTAGCTCCTCTGGCCTGCAGGCCCTGGCTCTGGAGCTCCCAGGTTCAGCCCCATCCCCCTACCCCACCGCCTAGACAGGCAGCTTCTCCTTCAGAGCCGTATTTGGTTGAGTTGTCTGTGGCACAATTAGGGAACAGAAGAGCACTAAGTGCTTTCTGTGGACCTCAGGGGAGTTGTGGATCGGACTTCGAAGCAGTAATAAGGGGTAGGTCCCTTTTGCCTAAGAGAAAGCAGTGGATGACAGCCTCACAGTCTTGACAGGCTGCAGAGCCAGGACCAAAGAAAGCCTTTTGTCCAATCATGCAAGAGTGCTCTTAGCAGTGATTCTGAAAGAAAGGCCCTCAGTGAGACTCCCAGGAGAGCCTGGCTGGACCTCTGGCCCAACCCCCACCTGAAGGAGCAGCATCCCCCACCCCCACACTCAGGGAGGAAGGGACTGAGCCCCTGCTTCTCCACCAGGGCAGCCTGGGGCTGCTTAGCTCCCTTCTGGGCAGAGCTTCCGGGCTCCTAGAGGCCTCTGCCCCTGAAAGCCTCAACTGGCCTTTTGGCAGTCTTTCACCTTTGCTTCCCAGAGGTTCTGCCCTTGGGGCCAAGGAGAACAAGTCAGGTTTTGTTTCAGCCCCAGAGCCCCCCCACAAACTGATGGCAGCTACCTCTGGCAGCCCCTGACCCTTCCTTTCTCCAGGCTCCATGCCCTCAATTCCTCCACCCCATCTTCAAAGGGCACAGACCCCTCGTCCTCCCGCCCCTTCCCCAGCTGGTCAATGTCCTTCCTGAAATCATGTGGATGTAAAGGTGTATCTCTGGAGGACTCCGAGTGGTCCTCAATGAGGCGAGGGGGAAAGGTTTCCCCCAAGGGGCCCTCACTTGGTTCTGCCCCAGATGGGAGCAGAAGGGACAAAAGGGAGTCGGGAGGAAACTGCCCAAAGGCAGGGTCAGTGCTGTGAGTCTTCACTGTCCGCACCCTTTGTGGGGATAAGCCAGGAAGATGGGTGGCCTGTTCCAGCTCCTGAGGCCCCCAATGGTCTTTGCAGCAGGCTTTAGCTCAAGTGGAGGACCTGCAGCAGGTGACGGCGCTCGAGATGTGTGTAGACACGCGGGAGTACAGCTTGGGAAACTTTGGTAAGAAGAGCTGTGTCTTTCCTGTACAGCCTACCCCTAGCACACAAGACCGGGCACATGAGCACATGCAGACATACATATGTGTATCCTTGCACACATGTGTACACAGGCACATTATTGTGTAGGATGCCCTGTCTCCATGATCTTAAAGGGCCTTGGGCTCCACTAGGGACCACTGGCTATAAATGTGCACACAAGGCACACACACACGCAGGCATACACACATGTGTATACTAGTGCACATGGGCACATGGGTGCACACATGTGTAGGCATACATGGATGTGTATACTAGCACATATGTGCAAACTGGTGCACACAGTGCACAAATCATACAGATACATGGAAAGTCATAGAATCATCATATGTCTTAGTTGTCTTAGTTGAAACTCCTTGATACCTGAATCCTCATTAGTCAGTCAACAAACTTTGGTTAGGGACTTCCTATGTGCCTGGCACTGTGCTAAATGCTGGCCAGGGATGCAAAGAAGGATTTGTCCGTCTAACGGCAAGTAGCTGTGGACAAACAGACGGGAAAGCCCAGAGGCAGAGGCCAGGACAGCGGGTGTGGGAGGCCTGGAGGACAGCTGCCTCAGGGGCAGCAGTCTAGTGAAGGTGGCAGAGGAGCAGCACGGAGCCCAAGGCCCCTCCCAGCCTGGTCACCTCTTCTTAAAGTGTGGCTCCTAGAGCCGGGCTTCGTGGGCACAGTGTGGTCTGATCAGGCAGGGGCCAGCAAACGTACTACCTGACTGGCCCGAGAGCCCAGTGCCTCGCTGACGGAGAGAAGAGGAAGAGGGGACATGCCCTTTCCTCTGACTGTTTGTTGTCTGGGCTGGTATTCAAATGAATTCATGTTCCCAGAATGAGGACGTGCCCATGCTTGGGAGCAGGGGGCTCAGAGGCCTGTTAGCACCAGGGAGAAGTCAGAAGCAGAACAGAAATATGGGGTCAACAAGTCAGTTCAGCAAATGTCTCTTCCTCCTCATCCTCCCCCTCCTCCTCTCCCTTTCTCCCCCTCCTCTCCTCCTCCTCCTCTCTTTCTCTCCCCCTCCCCCATCTCTCCCTCCTCCTCCTCCTCCTCCTCCCTGCTTCCTGGAGGCCTAAAAGTGTCAGTCAACATCCCACCTTCAGCAAGAAGCCCTTCCTGGTCCCTCTAATTGTAGTGCCTTCCCCTTGGGATGATTTATCCTCCTGACATGTTGATTATACCTGCTTGTTTGCATGTCATCTCCCTCATTCAACTGTGAGCTCCCTAAGGGGCAGGGGCTGTTTCCCCCCTACACTTCCACCCCTTTTTTTTTCTCTCCAGCACTTAACACAGTGCTTGGCATATAGTACAAGCATAAGAAATGCTTGTTGACTGAGTAGCTGATAGGTCAAGTAACATTATCTCCATTTCAAAGATGGGTAAAACTGAGGCCCAAAGCTTTTCCAACTTGCCCAAAGTCAGTGCTTGTCCACTCCAGGGCGCTGCCCCTGACTGTGCCCAGTCTTTTCCTTGCTCTTCCCTAGGGGCTGGAGCCTCAGGAGGAAAGTGCTGTTGGTGATGTTCAGTTGTGGCTGACTTGTGGTGACCCCATTTGGGGGTTTTCTGGGCAGAGATACTGGAGTGGCTTGCCATCTCCTTCTCCAGCTCATTTTACACGTGAGGAAACTGAGGCACACAGGGTGAAGTGACTTGCCCAGGCTCACACAACAAATAGGTCTCTGAGGCTGGATTTGAATCCAGGAAGATGAGTCTCCCTGGCTCCAGGCCTGGGGCTCTGTGCCCTGTGACACTCCCTAGCTGCCCAGGAAATTACGAGAACTTCCAAGACTTCCCCTGGCTGACTCAGAGAGGCCCCAACTCCCCAGTGCCTCCCAGAGGAGACATTGCCTTTCTTTTCCCTGGGGCAGTGGAGATGGGTGAGGAAGTTAGCTGGACAGGAGCATCTGCTCCTTCCCTTACTCCCTGAGGCATTCACGAAGACAAAGTCAGCTCAGACCAAGCAGCCAGGGTCCTCCTGTTTCAGAGCCAGGATAGAGGCTTTGGGCAGTATTTGGCTCCTGGGAAGGCAGCACTGCTCCTTCTGTCTGAGTCCTCCCTCCATGCTGCTGGCATTGCCTTGTTGAGAAAGTAGGTAGGGGTGGGGATGGAAGGAGCCTGCAGCAGGTCATTGGAGCCATACAGGCTGCAACCATGGGTTTCCTGGAGGAGAGGGACAGGCTGCAGTCTTGGCGGGGAGGGCCTCTGCTTGGGGCAGAGAGAAGGTGATGAGAAGGCTCCTGTCAGGGGAGCTCCCAGCCAGGCTTTGGCCTTGGGGCAAGTCCTCCGGCCTGGGATGAGGATAGGGGGAAGGGGAAGAAAGAGGAGCCGAGCTCTGGGAAGGAGGCTCTCCAGCCGGCCAGCTGGTTGCTTTGGTACCAACGGTCTCCTCTCTTGACCGCACAGGTGCCCATCTGCCCAATCTGAGCCAATTAAAACTGAACAACAGCCTGCTGGCCTCCATCAGGTAAGCGCCTTGGCGATCCTTCCTCCCCTGCAGAGGGAGGGAAGGGAGATTTTCAGCGACAGTGCATGGGGGACCATGGACAGCTCCTGTGCGGGCAGGAGTTGTGGATGTGGTCCCCAAGAGGTCCATCCTGTCCTGGACCTGGCCTCCTCCCTTGTCTTTGTTGGGAAAGGCTGGGGGCCCTGCCAGAACACTGACCATTGCCCATCCCTGCCTGTGTCGAGGTTTCTGTGCCTGACCTTCCTGGCACAATGTCCCGGGCTCCCTTGCTCCCACAGGGCTAGGTCTTGTAACGGACACAAGAGCACCCTTCCCTTGTCCCCTGTCCTGCCTCAGCTCTCCTCTCCTCCTTCAGGTGACTCATCTTGGGCCCTGGGAGGAGCAGACCTTGGTCAGGGGGTGAGGCGAGGAGGGTGTAGCTGCAGATGGCCTGGGGCCTAGATAGCCAAGGCTGGGCTGCAGCACTGTGGGAATCCATCTGCACACTCGTCTCCCAGCGTCACTGGTTTTCTTGACCGTTCACACTTACTCTCAGGTCTCATGTCCACCAGTACTGGCACGTCCAGCCCCCCAGGGCCTCTTCCCCAGGCAAAACTCACGATGCTCTCTCCTGGCCTTTTTCATCACTACCCAGTACATGGCAATCCATGAGTCACAGGTGATAAGAAGTTGCTCTGGACTCTTCAGAGATGGCAGCTGGGGGCTGCCACAATGCCAGAGTGCTGGGCCTGGAGTCAGGGAGATCTGAGTTCGAATCCAGCCTCAGGCACTTCCTAGCTGTGTGACCCTGGGCAAGTCACCGAACCTTTGTCTCAGGTTCCTCAACTGTAAAATGGAATCATAATAGCCCCTACCTCCCCAGGTTGTTGTGAGGATCCAAGGGAATCGCTTAGCCCAGGGCCCGGCCTTGTTATTGTTAATGGAGCTCTCCACGACCTTCCTAGAGCTTGATCTCTTCACAGTACTCTTGTTGAGGTGGAGACATCCCATAATCTCCCAATCCTGAGTGATCTCAATTCACAGAATCATGGGACCCGGTGCTGGAAAGAGCCTTGATTGTAGAAACATAACAATGTGGAACCCAGAATGTGCCACTGCCCAGATTAGCCTGATTCTGATGAAGGGTGGTGTGGCATGTCACCTCCTGGGCTGGCTTTAAGGAGGAGGAGGTGGAAGTGGAGGAGGAGAAAGGAGGTGATACCATCGCAAGAAGGGCTCAGGGAGGCCCCTGCATAGTAGCTCACCAGAAGGAGGTAAGAGAGGCTGAAGATGTACTTTCAGGTGTCATTCTTTATTTCAACAAAATGTGAGCTCCAATGTGGGTGGCCTCCAGGCCTCTCCTCCCACAGTAACTTCTCCTATTTGCTGTATGACATATGGTTCCAAAGAATGCCTCTCAGCCCTGTCAACTGATGCACACGTTTATCCATATAGGGCCTTTTCTCAGCCAAGTGAAAACAAGTTTTATTAGCTGAGGGTAGAGAGTGAAGCAGGCAGCACTTTGACGGATGCAGGTCAGAGGACCGTCTTTCCTTATTTTGTGATGACACCTGTGATTCACCCTGAGAATGATGCCAGAAAAAAGAAAGATCTTTCACATCTCATAAAGCATACCTGCTCAAGTTGCTTGCAGCCAGCCCCTTCTCAAAGAAAAGCCTTTGTGCTCTTTCTGATGGCATCAGACAAGTGCAGTATCTGCCTCCACAGGGCTTCCCAGGGCCCAGGGATTCATGCCTCTTTGGCCCCCCTTGTGCAGAGGAGGGCCTGGGACCTTGCCCTCATGCCCCATGAAGGGGCTGCCTTCTGGAATGCCACTGAAGGGTTCCCTGGCTGCTTGGACTTTATCTCTGTTGGTCCATAGCTAGTCCTGTCTTTTCTTGGCGAAAATGACAGGAAGCCCAAATCTCTTTTGTTTTCTCTGGATAGCAGTATGAACTTCTTATCAGAGTAAGGGCTTGGATGTACCAGTCAGTACCATCTGCCTTTCTTCTTCTGACCCCCAGGTGCCACTAAGCCATGGAGAATGGGTGCCAAAAAATTTAACCTTTAAATGAATCTCTGTCTAGTCAATGAGGGGGGAAGGAAATCCAGTCCTGAAAGCAAATGTACCCCCCAAGAAGCACCAGAGACAGATGCTGCCTGCTTCCCCAAGCTGGTTTTCTGGCTGACCAGGCAGAAAATCACCTTGACCTGCTGACACCTAGCCCGAGGGTAGAGGACACACCCAGGTCTCTCACTCAATTTCCCCAGGGGGTGAAATTGTCAACACAGGCTGGGAGGCTCTAGCTGAGCATGGGAAGGGGTTGATGGGACATGAAGGAGATGGGTGGGAAGGTGAGAGGGTCCAGCCGGTCAGCTGCTAGGGACCAAGTGGGGCTGGGGTCCCTGAGAATCCAGAGACGGAGGTCTCTAGCAGAGACTGGGCTGCTGATTCTAAGGAAACAGGAAAGGAGCAAGCCCATGCTCCCTGAGGCTGCAGAGCAGAAGAATGGTGACCCCTGACCCCCGATCACATGATCTGGTTTATTTCATTTGAGATGGACACTCTTACTTCAGAGCACTCAATGTATTTCTCTGGAAGCTTGTGGAGAAATCCTGTCTACAAATAGGGAAAATCATCCTAATTTCCTAAGCCTAGGGACCACACAATGTTCATTGGTGAGCTGCCATTATGTGACAGGATACAATGTATACCATGCCATGACATCATGTAGCAGGCCATCTGTCTAACTCCTGCCCTAGGTCCCAGAGTCCTAATATGGCTGGGGTTGGGTTTTCTGCATGTGGGAGGACCTGGCTGGGAAGCTTCCCTCAGACACTGACTAGCTAGGTGACCCTCACTGTTCTTCAGTTTCTTTCCTTTTAAAATGGCCCGGGGGAGGAGTTAGGCTCAGTGACCTCTATGGTCCCATTTCAGCTCCAGATTTATAATCCTATGACCTCAGTGTGACTCAGTTTCTTCATCTGAACCAATGAAGGCATTGAACTCCGTGGCCTCTAAGATTGCTTTTAGCAAGGGCAGCTAGGTAGTGCAGTGGATAGAGCACCAGGCCTGGATTCAGGAGGACCTGGGTTCAAATCTGGCCTCAGACACATAACACTTACTAGCTGTGTGACTCTGGGCAAGTCATTTAACCCCATAGCCTAGCCAAAAAAAAAAAAAAAAAGATTGCTTTCAGCTTCTGATCTCCCTTACTTCTGGTGCCTTCCCTCTGTTATCTCCACTTTATCCTATGCATCATTTGTGCCATTAGACTGAGAGCTCCCTGAGAACAGGGAGGTGCTTTTGTCTTTCTTTGTATCGCCAGGAGTTGGCACCATGCCTGGCACAAAGTAGTTGCCTGAGAAATATTAGTTAACTGACTGATTCTAGGACCTCTCTGGGTCTCAGTTTCCTCATCTGTAAAATGAAGGGGTTGGACTCAATGATGTACCTCTATGGTCCCTTCCACACTATGATGGCCACCACAGTCCTGAATTTCTCTTTTATCCAAATTCATCAGGAACACACACACACAGAGCAAAAAATGACCAATTCTATTCTCTACAGCATGGAGCTGCCGGCTCCAGCTGGGCTCCCCTTTCTCCTGCTTTTGCTCAGGGAAGCACTCCTCCACAGTCCCCTCTGACCTCACATTTGCAGACCCTCTAGAACCTGCCCTAGGATGACACCCACTTTGGCTGGCCAGGGCAGCCGTGTGAGTCAGTCCCTGGAGTCAGGAAGACTGAGCTCCACTTCAGTCTCTCATGCTTCCTAGCTTCTTGACTCTGGGCAAGTCAGGGTCAAATCTCTCCCAGCTTCAGTTTCTTCATCTGTAAAATGGACATAAAAACAGTCTGTCCCTCTCAGTGTTGTTGTAAGGGTTTGTGAACAGAATTCTGAATACAGTCCAGATTGGACAAGTTTCTCACCTGAGAATGGCCAGAGTGGAACTGAGCAGGCCAGAGGCAGGTGTGTGGGGACACAAAGCAGTGGTATAATTCATTTCAGAGTCAGAAAAACAACTCTCAAACAAGGAAGCCCCCCTCCTGAGAAAAAGGGCTTAGCATGTTGGGGTACAGGTGGTGCTTCTATCCATGAGTGGGCTGGGCTATGACATAATCCTTCCTAGGTGTTGAGTAGCCATTTCCCTTGGCAGGCTCACGAATGGACAATACAGGTGTTCCCGGGTCCTAGAACAGTCTCCAAGTTGATTGTCTCACAGAGGAGTGTAGCACTTATCTCTTACATAGAACTAGGATTGTGAGCAAGTCAAGCACGATGCTCTCAGTTCCCTGGGAAATAGAGGCAGTGAACACCTGGTGCTTGGTCAAAGTAGTACACTTTGCCAGAGGGTGAAAGCATCCAGAGTACAAAGGATTATTGTTATGCCAAGCTCAGGGCACAGACTGCTGCCTGGGCCTTAGCTCTGGGAAACAGGGTGCCTCCAATGTATCTTGACAGGTTAAATGAGATAGCACATGTGTAGCATCCATCTTAAAGCATCCTATAAATGTGCGCTACCCTAATTAACTACCAAGTTGATAGATTCTTGTCCTAAAGAGGGCCTTCTTTCTCTTCAGAAGTTCAGAGCTATTGAAGTGACCCATATGGAAACACATCTTAACACCTGCCAAGTGTGTGTGTCCCAGGTCTGTGATCCTGGCCTTTAAAAGAGCCATAAGTAGAAGTGGCTACTTAGCTGGCTAGATATGCCTTGAAGGCAGCTTTGGAATGTGGCCCATCCCCCTCCAAGGGAGAGTGCAGTGTCTGCCTTGAATTTCTCCCACCCACCCATGCGATAGAGTGTTGGGATGTAGGGAGAGCGGTTTTTTAGCTAATAGAAGTCTATTTTCTTTTTCTCATTTCCCATTCCATTAAAAAAGACAGAGACAAGGGGAAAAAACTGCTTGTAATATGCATAATCAAGTAAAACAAATTCTTCCATAAAACAGATAATGGTTCATTCTATGATGGCAAAAACTTGAAAACTCAAGAAATGCCTATCAATTGAGCAGTGGCTGAATAAACTATGGTCTGCAGAAGGGACAGATACCATTATGCTGTAAGAAATGAGGAAGGGGCCAGGCAGTCATGAAGGGCTCTAAAAGCCAAGCAGAGGATTTGATATTTGAGCTTGGAGGTGATTGAGTGGTAGGAGGAAGGTGATGTGGTCAGCCTTGTACTTTAAGAAGATCACTTTGGCAGCTGAGTGGATGGACTGGCATGGGGAGAGACTTGAGCCATGGAAGCCAAGCAGCAGCTATAGCAAGTGTCTAGATGTGAAGTGGTGAGTGGTGGCACCATCAGAGGAGAGAAGAGAGAGTGCACATGAGACCTTACAACGGTTGAGAGAGAGTGAGGGGTCAAAACCCCGGGGTTTGAGCCCGGGAAGATGGTGGTGTCCTCAACAATAATAGAGAAGGCACAGTAGGAAGAAGGGAGGCCTTGGGTGGGAGAAGAGAATGAGCTCCATTTTGGACACCTATGGGACATCTGATTTAAGATGTCTAATCAGCAGTTGGCTATATGAGACTGGCTGTCGAAAGAGAGGTCAAAGTAAGAATCATCTTAGTAGAGATGACCACTGAATCCACGTGAGCTGGTGAGATCACCCAGTACGATAGTACAGAAGACCAGAGGTTCCTTCCGATTCCCATTAGGGGTCCCCCATCTCTTTCCAGAAGCCTGCCATGCCTGTGTTTTATTTTGTGGTCCAAAAATCCAAAGCTCCAACTCAGACTCCGTCCCCATCCTCCTACCCTGCTGTGATAAAACATCCTCACTGTGGACTGCCTGCGCCTCTGGCCGGGCTCTCCATGTTCCCTTTCCAAGATCCTGAGGCCCACTGGAGTCACTACAGTGGCAACAGCTTTCCCTCTGAGAGGGTTCTGGGAGGTTCCCCGGGCCTGTAGAGACAAGAGCAATCTCTGCTGTCAGCAAGTTAGCCAAGAGAGTCTCCCAGCAGGGCATAGCGGGGCACCCCTCTTCTTTCATTTCTCTGACCCTTCCTAGGGGTAGCTGGTGGCACAGGGAACAGAACTCTGGGCCCAGATTCAGTATGACCCCGAGTTCAAATTCGGCCTCAGACACTTATTAACTGTGGCAAGTCACTTAACCTCTGCTTATCTCTCTTCCCTCAGCTATAAAATGGGTCCATTATCATCTTTGCTGCGGAAGCAAACATTGTTAGGGGAGGCCAGTAGCTCTCAATGGGACAGAGCATCTTTGGTCTTTTCCTCCTGAAGGCCCTTCCCTCACTCACCACAGTCTCCTCTCTGATCTCTTCCAAGGGACCTGGGCACTTCCCTGTCTCACCTCCAGATTCTGTGGATGCTTCGTTGCGGGCTGGCAGACTTGGATGGAATCAGTTCCCTTCACTCCCTGAAAGTAGGTTGCTTTCTGTAGACCCCCGGGAGCCCTGGCATCTCCAGGAAACTGGAGCACTGCCCGGGTGTGTTCTCTCCTGGGTCCTCTCAGGGTCAAGGGTTCCCCAGGACGCCCTCAGCCCCTTGGCTCTCAGCCCCCAAGTCTCTTTTCAGGCCCGGCGGGGGGGGGGAGGCGGTCAGCTGTGAAAACAAGTTCAAGGGCTCTTCTGGACAGCCCTGGGAGCCTTCAGGCCTCCTGCTTTACTCACATACCAAAGGGGACCCTTGGGATTCCCTGGGGTTTAAAGTCGGGAGAATTCTCCAAAGGAATTGGGACTACGCTACTGAGGATAAGGAGAAGCCTACATGCACAAAAGACTTTCACTACAGCATAACTTGGGATAGCCAAAGGCTGGAAATAAGGCATGTGCCCAAGGGCTGGGCTGTCAAGGAACAGCTGCCAGGATCGGCAAAGGAGGGGTCCAGAGGTCCAGGGGGAGCCTGGGCCAAACTGGGGAGGAGTGAGGAGTACAGGGGTTCCAGCCACCCAGACTGCCTCGGCTCAAGGACACAGTCCCTCACCCCCAGCCCGTAATCTGGCTCTTAGCAGGGAATGGTCCCTTTACTGGGGCCTGGGGGTTGGGAGGGTCTGTCCACTGAGTCAAACACCCAGGTGTCAGCATGTTTTAAAGAACTGAAAATAAAGCAAGGAAAGAGAGGGAGCTTGGAGAGGACATTAGGTGGGCCACTAGAAGCAGCCTGCCCTGTGCTTGGGCTGGGGTTGAAGTTGCTGTTGCTGCTGCTGCTGCTGCTGCTGCTGCCTTCTGCCTGTGGCTCTGCCCTGGGGTCCAGAGTCCATGGAACCAGAAGCTTCAGAGGCTTTGGAGACCCTGTACAGTAAGGAGATGCTAGGATTCTGGACTTGAGCTGGACCTCCAGTCTCTACCAAAGCTTAATGAGAGCTCTTCCTTCAACATCCCCAACCTCTGCTTGAAGCCCTTCAGGGATGGGAAACTCATGACCTCTTGAGGGAGCCCACTACCACTCACAACCGACTGGCAGGGGATGGAGGCAGCATCGATTCTGTGGCCCCAGAAGTTAGGCCTTCCCGCTCTCAGCTTTGGCCTCACCCCAAGCTGGAAGTCTGCTTTTTAAAGCCCCCAGACTCTCTTCAGATGCTATGCTACCTCACCATCTGCCCACCCTCACCTTGAATTGGGGAAGTTGATCTCAAGCATCAGTTTTCCATTTTTCATCTTAAATTTCACAGCACAGTGGATAGAGAGACCCAGAGACAGAAGAGAACTGAGTTCAAGTGCTACCTCTGAGGCACGCTGGCTGTGCAGTGCCCCTCTAAGTCCCAGAGCAGACCCTTTCCAGCATTGGTGGGTGAGATGTCTTACTGAGCCCCCGTGCCGATAAAGTCATGGATCCAATCCAGAAAAGCCCCATCTTCTTTGGGTTGGTCCAGTGACCTACTGGTCAAGATCTTTGGCACTTGGACTTGGTCATGGGGTATGTGTGCTATCCCTCCCAGCTCTTGGTCATTTGAAGATTTGACAGGTATCCAAGGCATAAAGTTGTCCACACATATGTCCTTCTGCCCAGTGGCACCGTCTCTCCCTGGGCCACAGTCTTTCAGATATCCCTGATGGGGCTTCAGCCATCTCATAGGCCACTTCCAGAGGAGGTCATTTGCTGGACTAGTGATCTCTCTGCCTCTCTGTCCTCTTTGTTCTGACCTTCCCAGTGCAAACAAAGGCATTCTCTTTGTTGAAGAAAACAGCCAAGATAGGGCTGAGGGGCTCTGCTTTCTCCCTGACCTGTCTCCCTGCACAAGGCTCCTGCCACTTCCGTGCTTCTCATCCTTACCCCAAGAAAGCCCCAGCCCCCACCAACCACCACAGCCCACATGCGGTCCTCAGCTGCCTATGCAGTCTCTGCTTGGCTCTTGAAGGTGGGCCGTGCTCCGCTGTCCCCCTTCCTTGCTTCTTTCTACTCTGTGACTGTGTTGTTTGGTGTCCACATCACTGATGGGGGAGTAATGGTGAGGGTCTTGTCAGTACTGGATAGTAGAGGACAGAAGGTTGGGTTCATAGCCGGCGGTTTCTGTAAAGATGGAAGATGACACAGGAGGTCTGAGCAGTGCAGTGTTAGAGTTGATTCCAGGACCTTTTTTTTTTAATTGATCCTCCTTAAAGCTAAAAGATTTTGTCCAAGGTTCTTTGTCTCTGAACTCTAAGTGGGGCACAAGCCAGAGCCTAAGTGCTCTAAATGCAGAATGACTGTGAATGAGGGCCAGATTGATAAATCTGTAACCTAGCCCCAAGGGCTGCCCTCTCCAGAGCCCTGTGTCAACTAGAGGATGTTCATGTGTGGCAACCCCACCCAGGTGGCACCGTTCCCAAGGCACAATTCAGCCAGGCCCGGCTGCTGATGGGACAAGATGGCAAAGCTTCTTAAGGAGAGGGCTGGCTGATTTGAAAGTCAGAATGACCAGGAGATGAAAGTGAGGCCAGGAGGGGGCAAAGGGCTGGCTGGGGAGGCTTAGACTGGATGGACCCAGCACTGGCTTTTGGGCTGTGCCTCTGCCCACGGGTACACCTGGCATCCTGAGGGCTGCCCAGGGTTATGACCTTGAAGAGGTGTCTAAGGGGTCCCCAGGGCAATCAGGCCAGGCCAGCCCAGAGTTCCCAAAGGAGGCACCGAGAACCCGCCTCATCTGATGGTCAGGCTCCACCCAGGACATGCCCTCAGTCTGGCCCCGCTGCTGTTGCTCCCATCTCTGCCTTTGCACCTGGACCTCAGAGCTTAGCACAAAAGCATTCGGGAGTTGTTTCTTAATAGTGTCTCTGGACTCTACTCAGTAGAAACACCATCTGCCCGGGAGTCCAAAGTGGATTTTGCTGGGACTTCAGGAAGACCAGCCCACTGAAATCCCGAGCTGAGGCCCCCACCCTGCCCGTGCAGCCTCCAGAAGGCAGATGCAGCTGCATTGTGGGCCCCTCCCCCTCCTTCTTGGGTCCTTGAAGACTCTGTGGGGACTTCCTGAAGAGCTTTCTGCCCAAGTTAACTCCCCAAGGGGTATGGGCCCTCCACCTCCTTGGAGTGTATTGCTTCAAAACCCAGCTCCCCCTTTCCCCATTTTTCTGGTGGTAGCAGCCAGGGCAGGGGTCCCCTGATAGTCTCATCACCACTTTGGCTCTTTACTCCGGATCTAGGAAGTGTGCTCCACACCTGCATGCCCCTGACAAGCAGATGATTGAGGGGCTGGGGAAGGGCATGTGTCTGGGCTGCTGGGCTAAGGGGGCTCCTTCTTCCCACCCCTGGGGTGCTCCAGGATCCAGTAGGAAAGCTCAGTGCTCAGGAAATACAAAGGCTGCTTCCTCATTGGCCCTCCCTGGGCCCCAGCTCCTTGTTAGGGCTCTCTCCCCGTCCCCATCCCCAAGCAGAACCAGAATGCCGGCTCACAGCCACTTTGGCCTCTCCAGGAATTCCTCAGACCCTCTGGCTGTCCCCCATACTCCCACCAGGGGGCAGCATCCAGGCTCACGGCCCCCTTTGTCTCCCCAGGAGCTGGGGGGGATTTGGCTGGCATGTTTAGGGAATGCCTAGTCCTGGAGGCATAGTCTGGGCTTTGTCCCCCACACTCCCAGCAAGGGGCAGTATCCATGTTCATGGCCCCCTTTGTCTCCCCAGGAGCTCTACATGTCCTACAACAATATTTCTGACTTGAGCCAAATCTGTCTGCTGGATCAGCTCGAGGTTCTGGACCTGGAGGGCAACAACATTGAGAACCTAGAGCAGGTTCGGTACCTGGGTCTCTGCAAAAAACTCCATGTGCTCACTCTGGAGGGGAATCTGATCTGCCTGAGGCCAGAGCCAGAAGCAGCTGAGGTGAGGGCCTGGACCTGATCGCTCCTGCCCTGGCCTTGGGGGACCGGGCTGGGAGCTGAAGTTGCATGTCCCTCTCCTTTCTCCTCTTCAAATACACTGTGGTCTGGTGCGGTCTGCCTGCTGGCTCAGCCCCCTCTCAGTCTAGTAGGGAGGGAGCCAAGCAGAGGATAGGAGTGCCCCACGGCTTTACATTCTCAAAAGTGGGAAGATTTCCATGAAGTTGGGAAGGAGGAGGGAAGATGAGGTGATAAGGAAGTCTGAGGGAGGCCTCAGAGACAGGTGTGTGTAATATGCAAATATTCATGCATTGTGTCAGTAGGGCCTGGAAACCTGTCCCCCCTCCTGTAGAAGGGCTGGTCCCCTCTGCCCAGAACAGCTTCCTCAGGTCCAAGGGACTCCATAGATTCACATCTCCTTAAAAAAAAAAAATCATCTTTCTGGAACCCCCACCAATGTGTTTACCTTTAATAGTCAGTCAGTCAGAGAACACAGTTCATAATTAAGGCATTTAGTGAAATGGTATAATAAGAAATATAGCAACAAATCTTTTCCCCTGTAAACCTGGGTTATGTTCTCACAACATTCACGGTGTCTGTAGCAAGAGTGGCTGCAGATAAAGAACACACATGGAGGGGTTGGCACACGAAGAACGTGTGTCCAGAGCAGGGCTAATCCCTGCCTGCCGCAAGGCGGGGCACTCAGGATCTTCCAGTGATATCCTGTGCCATTTCTGCTGGGCATGTCCTCAGCATCTCCTGCTCACTTGGACATCGACTCTCTGCTGCTCCACTTCCTAGAGCTTCTGGCTAAGCTGGAGTCCTCAGCTGTCAAGGATGGCCACCCTGCTCTTTTAGCTTAAAGCCAATTTTTTAAAAAAGAAAAAGGCTTTTTCCAGTTCTTAAAAAAAAAAAGTCGGGAATCCTAGCCTGGGCCCCATACCACCACCAATTACATTCTCTCAGATTCTCTTCAGTTCACTTTGGAGTCTTGGCTGGAAGCCTTTGACCTTCTCAGACTGAAATTCCCTCCCCTAGGCACGGAGCTCTTTAGCTCCAGGGCCCCCTCAACTATCTAATGCCCTCAGACCAACCCTCCTAGTCCAGGAGCCTTCATACTCATTCTCCATCTCGGGAGGTGAGATTGCAAATCTGATGATGCCCGATTACATCCCAACAGCTCTGGGGTTCAGGGCTCCCAGGTTTTAAACCCTAAACTTCCCCTGAAGATGCATTCTTGAGACCCCAACCGGAGATCCCTGGGGCTTTAGTCAGATTCCTGTCTTTTCACATGCTGATACAGGAGGCCCTAAGCCAGAGACGTGGGGAGGCTCTCCCAGGTCAGATCTGAGCAGGTATTGTTGTTCCTACTTTAACGAGCCTCGGAGATTGGGAGGTCCCAAGGTGAGTCAGGAGTGGAGCACCTGAGCCCAGGTCTTTGCACTTTGAGTCTGTGACTCTCTTCCAAGGGAACCTAATGCTAGCAGGCCAAAGGCAGAGTGGAAAGTAAATCAAAGTCCCCTTTTCAATCTTCTTTACTGAGGTTTGAGGGCTGGCTTTGTGGTGGAGTCTAGAGAGAGTGGAGTCCAAAGCCCACCTCCAAACCTGACCACGGAGTGACCACAGGTGAGTCATTTCAATGCCTGGAGCCTCCGTTTCCTCTTTTGTAAAACTGGGTTGGTCAGATAAGCCTGAGTAGGGGCCCAAGGTTGGGGTCTCAAGTACCTTTCCCCTGGGCAGGTATGGGCCTCCCCACTGGGGGTGGGGAAGGAGGGAGCTGATTGGCTGTTTAGCCAGTCCGATCTTGGAGCTACTTGAAAGTCAACAAGCACTTAGTGAACACATACTCTGTGCCAGGCACCGTGCTAAGCGCCCAGGAACACTGTTGCTTCTGTTGTGTTGAGTCTGACTCTCCACGACCACATTTGGGGTGTTAACCTGAAAGTTTGGTTAAAGAAGGCAAACAAGTTAGGTGATACATGATTATATAGTTTATTCCCTGTTAGCTAGCGAATCATGTTAACATGGAAGCCAGAATGTGATTCTGACTCAGAGATTAAGCAAAATGAGAGAAGTTTTATACAGTTGAGAGTGATCAAACTCAGGATGTCTGTGTTACAAAAAATACAGCCTCCATATGTTTGTTTAACATATAGCATGGGAAAGGAATTTTCTTAATTGAATAGGTTGTAAATACAATAAAATAGGAGAATGTAAAAGTGTCCATTGAAATTATAGACCAAGATAAGAAGAATCCCATTGTCCAAGAGAGTGTCTGGTCCCAGACATCCTGGGCTTAGTGATAACAAACAGGAAGAATGCTGGTCAGTTCCATCTGGTCTTGGAAATTGCTGACACAGGAAGGGGTGTTTTTAGTTCACTCAAGGGGAAAAAGATTAATTCAGGTTTTTGGCCCTTATTGGGGCTCAATTGATCTTAAATGATTATCAGGGATTTTCTTGGCAGAGATACTGGAGTAGTTTGCCATTTCCTTCTCCAGCTCATTTTGCAGATGAGGAAACTAAGGCAAATAAGGTTAAGGGGCTTGCCCAGGGTCACACAGTTAGTAAGTGTCTGAGGCTGGATTTGAATTCAGGTCCTCCTGACTCCAGGATGGAATGAGCATAGGAAAGTGACCCCAGTTGTTCTCCCTTGCTTCTGAAGGTGATTTTGGTGGTGTCCCTAGAGAGAGTGATTGGTTACCATGAGGAACCCCTCACCGAAATTATTGGTGAAACCCTTTGTGACCATTCGTCAAGAAGAGACTGATAAAAGCATGTTGTACCCGGAAGATTGTGAATGTCATTTCAGTAATCTGTCTTTTATGCCCACCAGCTCTGCTGTAGCCAGCCAGGGGGCACCACATTGCAGAGAGAGCTGGGCCTGGAGTCAGGAAGGCTTGAGTTCAAATTCAGCTTTGGACACTTAATAGCTGTATAACCTTTGGCAAGTCACCTAACTTCTGTCTGCCTCAGTTTCCTCAACTATAAAATGGGGATCATAATAACACCTACCATTCAGGTAGGATATTGTGAGCAGATCATTTGTAAAATGCTTAGCACAGTGCCTGGCACGTGGTGGGTGCTATACATGTGCTTATTTCCTTCCATTATTATTATTATTATTATTATTATTATTATTATTATTATTACTTTCAGCTGGGTAATTTAATCCTCTTCCAAGTTCTACTAGAACTCACTTTAACCCTGAATAGCCAGAGGGGAGAGGTTAGACTTCAGGAAGACTGAAGTGATAGAAAAGGATAAATGAAGAAAAATGAGGTAATGCCTAAGAAGGAGGGTCCCTTCCAGTTTCAGTGAAGCGTTGTTTGTGTATGAATAGGGAAAGAATGTTTGGTTTTGATTGTGTCTTTGGAAAGGAGACCACTGGAGGGCAGTCCTCAGTTCCGTAATTGTACATTTGGCCAGACTGTGGCCTGAGGGAGGGAATTCAAACCTAATCTAAAGCCCAGAGTTTGGAGATATCCTAAGGGGTGGCATGTTGGAAAATGGCTTGCTTTCTGCAGACAAAGGGGAGGTCCAAGTATATACCCTGGCCCCACAGAAAAAGGGGAACAGTGGCTCAGAAATCTCTAATATGAGTTAAGATTTGGAGGATAGGACCCTGGATATGGATTGGTGACTCTACAGGAAGTGTCCTGTTCTTTGCTGCCTCAAATGCAGGGGAAATTAGGTGATACAGAACTGTTGAACAGAGATCCAGAAAGTTTTGTTGCTGTTTTTCAGTCAGGTCAGACTCTTTGTTGACCCTGTTTGGGGTTGTCTTGGCAAAGGTACTGGAGTAGTTTGCCATTTCCTTCTCCAGCTTATTTTACAGATGAGGAGCTGAGATTTAAAAAAAAAAGGGTTAAGTGACTTGCCTAGGGTCACACAACTAATAAGTGTCTGAGGCTATATTTGAACTCAAGATGAGTCTTCCTGATTCCAAACCCAGTGCTCTGTTGAGGTTTAGGGGTGCTGGAACCCCAGAATCAGAACTCGCAGGTCCTGCTACCCAAGCCTTCTTTCAGCCAAAGACAAGGCTTATTAGAACATCTGTCACACTGGGCAGACTTTTAAGGAGTCGGAACATTAGTGAGCTAGTGGCTAGATTATAAGAATCTGAGCATCTTAATGGAGATGTGTGGGATGCAACTCAAATTGAAAAACACTGAGAGATGTCTCAAGGTAGGAACAGAAAGGTTTATTTTCAAATCTTGAGATGCGGGTGTCCCTCCACCAGTATGATCTGATGAGGGGAGACAAGTTACAGAAGCAAAAGAACCAGATTAAATCGCCCTAAAGGCTAAATTCGCCCCTCCCACCAACTGGCCAATGTTTGGCTCACAGTCTGAATGTGAAAGTCTTCCACAGAAACAGAAAAACAAAGAAACAATATACATATCCATATTTAGCCCCTTAGTTTACTGAAGTGTTGCCAAAAACGTGCAGTCAAGCTAGACACTGTACTGTATAGCCAGGTCACCATGACTGAAATATAGCAACAGGTACAACAAGATATAGGGGGGCTTCAAGGGTTTCAGGCTTGGCAAACTTTAACTACTGAGATAACAATGGCATAAAAGGGGGGGCGGGGTACTTGGGGCTGGATTCCCGTAACTCAGGTGATTTCTAGTAAATCGAAACTTAGTGTCAGGCTGCTATGCCTGCCTTGAGTTTTGATACAATTTCTATTTATTCTTCTAAGAAGTCTTCACAGGACCCCCCAGCCCACTCAGTCTTATCCCAAACCTTAATTATACTGAGGAGTCTTCACTGGGACATCCCATTCAGAGACAAGATGGACCTTATACACAGAAAGACTATGGGAGGGATCTAAGAGTGGCCAATCAGTCTATGAGGTAATAGAACTCCAGGGACCTAGACCACTCTGCCAAGGGAGAATGGAGCTTATATAAGATTAAGGGTAGGAAGGGGCCATTCTGGAGGTAAGACAATAGAGGGCTAGGCTAGGTCAAGGGTAACAGAATTGGGAGATTGGATG